CCTAACGCCTCGCATCCTCCCGGATCAAGCTGGGCGCCCGCCCGCTTGATCCCCTTCTATGGTGAAAGCAAAAACATCACTATTCGGCCCTGAGGACGTCTAAGCCACTGAATCCCAGCTTCTTTATACTCATGACACCAGCCCAATCAACTCGACGAGGACTGTCCCAGGGGAAACTTGTTCAGCTCCAGCCTGCTTGACACTGTTAGCAAGAGAAGTCTTGAGTGCGTTGAATTCAATGGCTCAACTTCTGTCGGCTTCGTGGGGTTTCTCCCAGGGGCGACCACCGAGTTGAATAATTGCTCAATGAATAAATCAAAAGACCTGCGTATGAAACACCAAATAATTGCAATGCCAGAGCCAAAGACTACAGCACTGCATTTTCAGCAGCTGTTCCTCTTCTTCGGCCACACACTCTAAGCTTGCTTAGAGTCAGCGTTGATAAGATATAGTGCTTTTGTTCAAGAACCAATGAGGTTTTTTTTGAAGTAATTTGAATTCTGATTGCCCCAGATCATGGGATTTGTCCTCTGAGAGCAAAAAAGCTCCTTTAAAAATGCTTGCAGGAGCAAGCCCTTAAATACCTTTTTATAGGGTATGTAATAAACAGACGATTACTTCACACGATACTCAAAAGTTATCCATTCTGTTCAATCTGTTCTCACTCTTCCTAAAAATAAATAATATTCCTAAATACGAAACAAGAAACCAAGGCCAAACAAAAACCCCTCAAATCTTTTGTGTTAAGAAGCAGAAGATACTCTTACAGATTGCTCATCAACAAACTGCTTGTGGGGTTCCAGTTTTCATTGAGTTATAGCTTCTACAGTACATAAATATTCAGCATAAGCCATATTAAACTGTCGCTTAGGTGCGATATAATCACTTTCCACTTCGCCATTTCCAATATAGGAAGGAGGACTAGAGTCCAATCGCCCTTCTGCTGGTTTTTGATACTCGCATGAGAAGGCTCTTTAAAAAGGTGAAGTGCAAAAAGGTATCAAGCAAGACAGAATTTCAGTAGCACCCTGTTGAGAACACACAGAAGTTGCCTGGCAGCTTCTACTGTTTAATGACAATGACGCTCCCTTCCAGGGGAGATCTTGCAGAGAAATATAGTCAGTTTGCAAAGCAATGTCATTACTCTTGAAAGTAACACTCTTCTAGCGTGCTGCCTTTGGGGATCATTATGAACGGGACTGGTGCTAGCATTTTAAAATATGACTCATGTAGGCATGCTACCTGTTGCTTCCTGCTTGCAGCACATGATATTTTAAAGTAAAGGTGCTTCTATATACAACCGAGTCAATATTTTGGCACGTGCACTTTACTGCTAGCATTGCTAAGACATTTTATGAATACCAATTTCAATGCACAAATATGCTGCTGCATCATAAAAATGCTGAATCTGGGCATTAAAGCTTGTTTACCCTTCAGGTCTATATTTCCCAATTCCTACGTTCACTATTTAGTCTTGGTTCTCAAAGGCACTCAGCATTGATTTGATTGGACTTCCAAGAGACAATCATCATGTATTAATGTTTAGATAAAAGAAAAATATGTGTGATTAGATTTACCTGTGTGACAGGAGCATTCGATAGTGATCCTATCTTAAAAAAATGTACTTAAAAGGAATTGTATTTAAATATTCCAACTGAAACACACAAAAAATATTATCTGCTGCCATGCCTAATTAATAGTGACTTGCAACAGTAATGAAGAGAAAGGACAGATGCTTTTTAACATAATAATGAATGCACATGCACAAGCATTTTCTAAACAGCCAAAATGCAGTCTATTCTAACCTGGATCTTACTAATCTAAGCTGGATAGCCAAATGGAGCAAAACCATAGTGGAACTGACACTGTTCTTAAATTTTCTTTGATAATTTTCCCAAACTATCCTCTCTACCTCCATACTGGTTCGAATGTTTTCTTTTTCCCTTCATCCATACCATTCTGCTCGAATTTGTCTATAGCATTCTTTGCATCAGCTCAATGAGAGAGAAGTATCAACTCTGTATTGAAAATACCACTTTCTGTACCTCAGCAACCATTCTAGCAACCTTCAATCAAACACATACCCGTGCTCTGTGCTAAGATAGCAGGACGACTGCCGACAACCACCGTAGCTTTCTTAGCCGAAAGAAAATCTCAGAGCTACACAACATCAATCCGTCTGATACTGCAAGGGTCTGCATACAAGTCAGCCGCATCCTGTGAGTCATGGCATTGAAAGCACCGAACAGATCTAATAGTACAGTTATGGATGCTTGACTTTTAGCCAGTGATGAGATATTTTTTGAGCAATATTATCAATGCCATTTCCATACCAAACTTGAGTCTCTAACAGATAAATAATTATTATTAGGGACAACTAAATGTTGTAAAAGTTACCTCTCATAATGTATTGCACCCTCTTGATCAAACCATGAAGACCAGGTGGTGGATAGTAGTTGGCCAGGTCATGATCAAGTGATTTTTTCCCAAGGAAGTACAAAACTGCATCCCTCAAAGAGAACAGGAAATTCTTCTAAGGACTTCCTCTTTGGAGGAAATGTTACTTTGGACCCTTGAGAGAGAATGCATCCAGTCCTTCACTGAAAACCCTCATCAAACAGCTCAATAGGCTACTGAATACAAAATGCATGTTTCGCATGAGGATTCCTCAACTTTTCAGACTTTGGTTCAAACCAGACCGGCTATATAGATAAAAGAAGAAATGCCCTTCCCAGTGGTAGGATTTGTACAGACCAACCGTGTTTGGCCACAATGCAAACTAACAAGGCTATTTAAAACTCTCTTGTTTGGAATAGGAGGAGGTAAAGAGCACTTTCTTCATTTCATGTCCAGCTGTGGCATAAAACCTGGAAAAAATATTTGCGCTCCAACTGTTTAGTTTTACAGCCAAACCATTCACTCTTCATACTCCAGGCAGTTTCTTGGTCGTTGCGTTGTCCAATGTCATCCATTATTCAGACTGGGAAGCAAAAATGAGAGAGGCAGAAATCTTGATAAACTTATTAGGCTAAAGACTTCTCAAGAGACTCTGATCCATTGGGGAAAAAAAGATCTTTTCCTTCAGCCACTGCTGATTAAACTTTAGATCTATTAGATTCTGAGGCCAGACCACCAAAACTGGATCTTCACTGCATCAGGGAAAGCACACGGCAAAGCATAGGAGGAGAGAGTCACTGCATGACATGAGGGTAATTTCCAACCGATTTCAGTCCACCTGAACACAATGACAAGAGCATCATCAACTAGATGGGTGAGCTAATCTCAACTCAGTGGAGACCTGGGGTAGATATAACATTAGGAAACTCTACACTGACGGGTGAATTCAGCATCTATGTACGGCTGAAAACATGCTACCTGCAAGCCTCCAAAACCTTGGTACTGAGGAACGCAGTCAGCATGCTTTGAAGTGATAGCGAACAATTTGTTCACTGATAACTGGCTCCAAGCTAATCATTTCCAAGGCTCATTTAGAGGATACAACTTAGAGAATATACAGTATCTTATCTTCTAAGAGATATCGTGGTACACACATAGTTCTGCCCTAAGTTTTGCATCTTTCACCACATTTTAGCTTTTATTTAGGGAGAGAGACAGCTACGGAGCAAAGGGGCACCTTCTGCATGGCCCTAGGCTGCTGGCGCCCCTTAGGCAAGCTGGCCTTAAATGGCCGCTTTTCACACATAACGCAGTGAAAAGAGCTGCACTGAATTTAGTGTAACCACAGTCAGAAATGACAGCTGGGAGTTAGAGACATACAAAGGTGTGTAGGAATTATGCTGCTGTCAATAGGATTCTGCACACAAATGACATTATGAGGAAAAAAAAATAATTTGCGCCAGTCAGACCCTTGACTGCTGCATGATACATTTTTAAGTCTGATAAAATTAATAGGCTGATGCAGTCAAAGGTCAGTGTATAACTAGTATAGATACAATCTTGGCTCTCTTGAAAATAGGCAGGGCCAGAAATTACAGCATATAATAGGCATCTAGCTCTCAGAGCATTGCACTAAGGGGTATTGTCTCACCGCCTGATGTGTGCAAGGCTGTGTGAAGCCATTGGGACCATTGAGTGACTCTCTTTTTCTCTCTGGGGAGATGAAAATAAGAGATTGAACAATTAGAGAGGGAGAGAATTTTGCTTCCAAAGCCACCCTTTGCGACAATCAACCAGTCTTCCTCCTCGGTCATTTTCTACAAACTAAAGGAACAATTGTAGAACGTCAGAAAGCTCAGCTGAGCATGGCCACAGCCTGATGTTGCATCTTCAGAGTGTCACAGCATCATCACAATTCAACAGCTGAATGCAAATGTTTCTACCCAAGCTGGAGGCTGTGTGATATTTCATTGCTGGCTGCATTTGAAGTCTTTTGCTAGCTGTGTCGCTCCCTGCCTTTCTAAAGCAGAGCACTCCAGTTGCACGCTACCTGAGTATGCCCAGCATCAGTTCTTTTGGGCCTATGTATAATAGTTTTCTAAAGAATCCTAAGGTGTGCTCTAAAACCCGTGAGTTTTAATTTGGTTAACTGGGATTGGGAGTATTTACACTAGACTGGCAACTCTTCTCACAAAGGCACCGTCCTTCAGATGACTTGAACTAGGTTATCACATTTGCACCGCAAGCCTAAACCCGCATTGAGAGAACTGCTGTGCTAGTCCTCTTGCTGGAGTACCCAAGGATATACCAAGATGATGGGGAGACTTGACGTTATCTAATGGTTGTGTTTCTTCATTGAGCCAAGATAAGTTCCTGGAATCACAAAACAAAATTGGAAGTCATTAGAAGATCTGTAATATTCTTAGCAATATCTTAGCTGAATGGCTCTCCTGGGAAACCAAAATTACTAGATCAAGATTTTCAGAAAGAATTAGGCATTTTAGGCACTCAACTTCAGATTCTTGTTTTTCAAGAAGTGCTGAGTTTTCCTCACCCTCACGTCCATTCCTTATTCTTTAGCCCACCCTCTCCTCCAGAGAGCCCTGTGCTGTCGGAGTGTCATTTCTTTAAGTCTATATTTTTGGCTACAAAATAATCAATGTACCTTTAAAAGCAAGGCCCCCTCGTCATGGTGAATGAGAGAGATAAAGCTGATAATGAAGCAGCTGGTAAAGCTGATACTCTCAGCTCATAGAATCGGACTGAGACAGGGCTGCTGATTTTATTCATTTGCAGAAAAGAAAGTCTCTGGGGCTGAAATCCTGGCTCTGCCGAAGTTGGGGAAATTTTATGATTCACTGGGTCCAGTTTCCCTCACGGCATTGCTTTTTTATCCCTCTGTGCTGTTCAATTCTTTTACTACTTCTCAGTTCTCCGTTCAGCTTTGAGCCTTTTACCGAATGGGAAAATACTCTGTAGTGAGCAGGATGTGAAAGAGAGAGCTGCTATTCAGCCTGAACGCTTGCAGCTTTCTCCAGAACAAGGCATGTTTACTCACCCTTTCAACAACACTTGAGGAATAAATATCCACTCATTTAACTAGCTGCTGACCCGCTCTCGCTCCTGGGGCTGGGAACAGTTTGATAAGAGTGAATGTACATTGAAATAACAAATCTAGTAAGTGCAGAGGAGTTATTTAGACAGCTGAGCCCCACCAGGAGAATTTACAGGTGGGGTAAGGGACTGGAGAAAGAAACCCTGTGTTGCTCTAGGATGTTTGAGAATCCTTAAAGGTATTCACATTTACACCTGCTGGTAACTACTGCTGGTTTTGTACAGCTTTTGTATGCAAACACCTCTTTAAAAAAAAAAAAAAATTCCACAGTAGTTGTCTTTTATTCTGCCCTGGCACACTCAGGAGAAGCTCGTGGTGACAACAGCCAGCGTACCAATTATCCTGCAAAAGCTACTTGGTCACCCAAAGGTAACCATTCACCAGTTGCACAAACACAGCTCAACTTTGGGGGT